ACCTGGGAACCGACGTCATGGTGCCCCAGCGGTCGGTGGATATCGATATATGTTGGCCCCGGGGGGGCTTGACTCTGTGTTTATATATATATATATGTGTGTATGTATGGATTCACCAAAAGATGTATAGTAGGTACATAAAAGTAGGAATAGTATATAAAGAGAGTGATCGTATCCGCACTGTACATGTAGATAATGTAGACTTGTTACTCGCATGTACCGTATACTAATTCATCTATCGTACATGCATGTTTCTGTATATGCGTACATGTACCAGGACTACGCACAACAGACATATCATAACTGCATATATGTACACATGTCGTAAAACGGGTGTATACAAACATAACGATGTACCGAACATGGACACATAACGTCGAACATAACGTTAACTATACATACACATATGTGTACACTTACATGCTATACATATATCAACATGTCCATCGCCTGTGGAGGTCCGCGAAGATCGATTCCCCGGCGGTGGTTTTGGAGACCTAGGGGGCGGACAAGAGGGGGCGTCCAAGGGGGTTAGTAAATCATGGCCCAGGGCAGGTGGGCGGCCTGGGGGGAGCCAGGGGACGTGTTGAAAGAAGGGGGGCACCATGAAATCTGGGGGAGTTTCATGGCCCCCGCCATGAGATCAACCCTCCCCTAATCAGTCATCACTCCCATCTTGGCCGCCCGCGAACTGCTGCGCATCGGAGCTATGGCCGGGCAGCTTCCCAAAACTTCAAAGGTAAATTTATACTCAGAGCAGAAGACTGACTTTTCCACAGCTCCGCGCGGATTTCTTGAATCGGCGTTGGACACCCCTCCCTGGCGCGCGGAGCGCGTCATGGGCGGCGCCGGAGACGCCGCCAGGGGGGACCAACGCGGATCCAAGAAATCCGCGCGGACCTCAGATACTTCATTGATGCGCATTCTTGGTGTTTCGCGCATGTTGTGAACAACGGACTTGCTCATTTCTTCGCCTGAGCAGGATCTGGCAGTCGTGCTGCCCGAGCTGCAGCACGCTCATAATCGAGGGCGCGCAAACATGGATTAGCGATCCATGGATGTGGCGCGCGGTCGCCAAATCAATGGATCGGGGGACGTGCCCCCCCCCAAAATGCGGCCGGTGCCGCCTCGCTGGGCGGCGGAAATTTGTGATTTCCTATGGAGACGGGACCCGTAGCTAATCCACGCCCCCTTGATCCATGTTCGCGATCACTTGACATGAGGCAGGGCTGAAGGCGGCTCGGCACGACGACCGGGTGGTCGCGCGGATGGTGCAGGCCGCGGCTCGGCAGGCGGAGCTGCTGCAGCGCCGCCCCGAAAATCCCCTCCAGGATCGTTGGGAGAGCGGCCGCTCCCCTCCTCGGCGAAAACTGGGTGGTGGAGGTCGGGAGGCTCCTGGGCCGATTCTCCACCACCGCTACCGCAGGTAGAACTGGGGGAGGGGAGGCCTTGTGGAGCCGTTTTGGGTCACCTTAGATGCTCTGACCGGTCGCGGGGCGCCCCGTCCAGGTCCAGGGGATGGGGTAGGGGGAGGGGTCAAGACACCCTCCTAGATAGCAAGCCGTCTAGCTCACTCCCGCCAGCCCTCCCAACACATAAGTAACACCCGAGACTCAGCATGTTCAGCGCTCGTCCTAAATTGGCAGCTACTGGGAACCAACACCGACACCATGTGCGCGACGCTGGGGCCCGAGCGTGCCAGGCACGTCTGGTGACACCAGATGCGCCACGTGCTCCACGTGCGCCAGGTGTGCTGCGTACACCAGCCGCACCAGGTGCGCCACGTTCGGGGCACGTGCAGAGTGTGTCAGGTGCGCCCGCGCACGTGACAGCACACATCGGAAAACCTGTCGGCCCCCACCATCCTTGTCGAAAACCTAGGCCCATCATTGTGTCTGGTGGGCAGACAATACGCCATCCCCCCCCCAGTCCCTGTCAAAAACCACTTCACAGTGATCGCGGGGTGGCTGCGCATGATCCAGATTTATCCGCGAGGTGCATTTTGTCTTGCTTTTGATATGGATGGTGGCCCTGCGCACAGCAGACAATATGCTGGCACCCCCGCCGTCCCTGAGTGCTCGGGGGCCTCACGAACATGATTCAAGACTTTGCCCCAAGGTGTACTTTGTATTGCTTTTTGAAAGGTGGGGGGGCGCATCGGGTTGGTTGCGCATGCTCCGAATGTGGAGGCGGGAGTGGGTTTTGTTCTCAACCAATATGTGATGCGGGATCTTCGTTTTGAAGAGACAGCGCCCCGCATCTCCTTCCTCCTCCCGCTGCCCTCTCCCTCCTCCCCCTCCCCCTCCTCCCTCCTCCCTTCGTTTCACCCACCCAGTACAGCGGTCCGTGGCCCCATAGGGAGCTCCACCGAAGGCCCCAGTGGCTGTGATCGTGTTTTGGCCACATGCGGTTCCACCCCCCATGTCGGCACACCCCTCACACGTTTCGTGGCCCCATGGGGAGCTCCACCGTAGGTCCCAGTTGCTGCGTTTGCGTTTTGGCCACATGCGGTTCCACCCCCCACTTCGGCACACCCTCACACGTTTCGTGGCCCCAGACGGAGCTTCACCGAAGGCCCCAGTGGCTGCGTTCGCGTTTTGGCCGCATGCGGTTCCACCCCCCACTTCGGCACACCCCTCACACGTTTCGTGGCCCCATAGGGAGCTCCACCGAAGGCCCCTTGGCTGCGTTCGCGTTTTGGCCGCGTGCGGTTCCACACCCCATTCCGGCACACCCCTCACACGTTTCGTGGCCCCATAGGGAGTTCCACCGGAGGTCCCAATGGTTGCGTTCACGTTTTGGCCGCATGCGGTTCCACACCCCATATCGGCACACCCCTCACACGTTTCGTGGCCCTATAAGGAGCTCCACCGAAGGCCCCAGTGGCAGGGTTCGCATGGCGGCCTCGGGCCATTTCGGTACGTACACCCCTCGCGAGGATCGTGGCCCAGGGTTCGCATGGCGGCCTCGGGCCATTTCGGCACACTCCTCAGAAGGATCGTGGCCCCATGGGGAGCTCCACCGAAGGCGTCACTGGCAGGGTTCGCATGGCGACCTCGGGCCATTTCGGCACACCCCTCACGAGGATCGTGGCCCCATAGGGAGCTCCACCGAAGGCCCCAGTGGCAGTGTTCGCACGCGGCCTCGGGCCATTTCGGCACACCCCTCACGAGGATCGTGGCCCCATAGGAGCTCCACCGAAGGCGTCACTGGCAGGGTTCGCATGGCGGCCTCGGGCCATGTCGGCACACCCCTCACGAGGACCGTGGCCTCTGGGGGAGCTCCACCGAAGGCGCTAGTGGCAGCCTCCCTCATGGCTCTCAGAGCTCTCTCCTGCATCTGCTCCTCGGTCAGAGGGACGCCGTCCTCGTCGCCGTCGGTGCCCGCGAAGACGGCCACGAACGTGTCCCCGAGCATGTCGGGCTCTGGCGGGAAGCCGCGGCCACAGGGAGCGCGGGCGAACATGGTATTCACAAATGCGGTTTTCACAACTGCATATAGTTGGGTCCTTCGCCCGGCTAATTTTGTTTTTGATAGGGATGGTGGGGTGGGGATCTTGTTGTCTTTATTGTTCCTGGTTGGCTGTTGGTCGCCTGGACGCTGCGTATTTTAATTGGGAACAGTGATCACCCGTCCCCGAAGGGGAAGAAAGGGGTTGGAAAAGGAGCCTCTAGACCACCTAAGCCCTGCGCCTAGAGGGCTGGTGGGATTCCACACGCACACACACATTGGTTCCCCAGTTTTTCGCAATCATCCTGTACTTCTGCGCTGTCGTTTTTAATCGTTAGCGCTACGCGCCCTTGCCTCCCAGTCCTCCTGGTTCTCATCCCCTTCCTCTGCCCTGCCTCTGCCCGTGCACACTCTTGGCACGCTTGTCCAGCCTCATAGGAGCTCCAACCAAGGCCGGCATGAAAGAGTCCGCATGCAGTCGTGAGCTCATTTCGTTATTCCTTGCCACGGCTTGCTAGTATCACAGGAGATCCACTGAAGGCCGACATGAAAAATATTGTCTACAGTCGTGGTCTCATTTTACGTCTCCTTTGCCACGCTTTGCTAGTCCCACAGGAGCTCTACAGAAGGCCGACATGAACAAATCCCCATACAGTCGTGGGTTCATTTCGCGCTCCCCTGCCACGATTCGCTAGCCCTATAAGAGCTCCACCGACATAAACAAAAATCCGCCTGCAGTCGTGGGTTCACTTTGCGCCTCCTTTGCCACGCTTTGCTAGCCCCATAGGAGCTCCACAGAAGGCCAACATGAAAGTGTCCGCATGCAGTCGCGGGCTAATTTCGCTCACCCACGCCTCGCTTGTCAAGCGCCCTAGGAGCTCCACAGATGGCCAACATGCAAAAAGGTCCGCCTGCAGTCGTGGGTTCATTTCGCGCCTTGCCACACTTTGATAGCTCTGTAGGAGCTCCGCAGAAGGCCAAAGTAAAAAGGTCAGCCTGCAGTCGTGGGCTCATTTCGCTCGCCCCTGCCACGGCTTTTCTGGTCCCATAGGTGCTCCACAGAAGGCCGACATGGAAAAAACCGCATGCAGTCGTTCGCTCATTTCGCTCGCCCCTGCCACGCGTTTCAAGCTCCATCGGAGCTCCACAGAAGGCCGTCATGGAAAAGTCCGCATGTATTCGTGAGCTCATTTCGGTCGCCCCCAGGGCCTCTCGGGGGGGCTTTTGGGGGCCTCTTGGGGCGGGAGGGGGGGTAGTCGATTGCGGCTCCCCCCTCGGAGGCCACGATCCTCGTGAGGGGTGTCGAAAAATGGCCCTCCCCTGGAGTGCTCTGGTGGCTTCTCCCGGGACCTTGCCGGGGTACTTTTCGTCCGGGGGCCCCCAGGGGCCGCTCCGCTCGCGCGAACTAGAACTATTGTTAACCAGTTACCGGAGATCTTAGCACGCCTCTGGCCCGTTGGGCCGGCGAATTTGGTCTTCCCTTCCTCTCCCTTCTCCTCACTTTGAGCGAGGGTCAAGACAGGCAGCTTGGCAGGCAGGGAATTTGGGAGGAAACACTCTTGAGCGACGACGAGAACTGCGCGAGCAACGTGGAGCGCCGCAAGGGTCACAGCGCCCGGAACGGCCGCCGGTTGAGGAGCTGGAGGAGGGGACACATTCTGACGTTTTGGTCGTCTTTGGGTTCTCTCGGGAGGCTCTCGTGGCTAGGTCTGGACGCAGCTCGAAAGACCTATGGTGTCCAGGAGGAGTGCGGGGACGGGTTTCAGAGACAGTGGATGGGTCGAGGATGGAGACGGGTGAGCAGTGCCCTGAGATTTCTACGGCAGGTGGCGAGGACGAGAAATAAGGAGGATGTCGGACGGGGCTAGGACGATGACAAATCCGTTCCAGACAGTTCCAGAAGGCTCCCAGAGCTTTCCGGAACGCTTTGAGAGCGCCGCCGGATCTCAGAGAGTCTCGATTTGTCGTTACCCGAATGTGTACTCGTCTTGGCTTCGTCTAAGGATGATGATGAGGACGAGGACGAGGACGAGGACGAGGAGGTCTTCCCCACGTTTTTCTACCTCTGGGCCTTGGGGCGGCTGGCAGATGGGATTCTCAGACGATTTGGGAGCCGTTTGGAGGTGCTCTGAATTTCTGTGGCAGGCGGGCCAGGACGAGGAATGATGACAGTGACGTCGATGATGGCGACGATGTCGATGAGGGGGAAATGGATGAGGAGGATGGTGACTGGGAGTTGCAGGGGGAGGAGGAGGAGGAGGAGGAGGAGGAGGAGGAGGAGGAGGAGGAGGAGGAGGAGGAGGAAGAGGAGGAGGAGGAATACTTAAGAGGAGGAGGAGGAGGAGGAGGAGGAGGAGGACGAAGAGAAGGGGGAGGAGGAGGGAGAGGCGTGGGGGAGAAGGAGGGGCAGGGGGCAGGGGAAGAGGGTTGAACCACGACCCGCAGAAACACCGTGAACCCGGGACCTGCTCACCTCCACCGCATTCGTATGCAATTCTTGGGATATTCATTTCAGCATCGGCGCTGGATACCCGTGGTGGGAAGCCGGCCCGATGCAGCATGAGCCCGCTTTTAGTTTGGCTCAATCCTGAGCTCCATCTCTGGCTACTACGACTCAGTGCCCTCGTCATCGGGCGTACGAGCCGTTGATCGCTCTTGCCAAGACCTACTAGGAGTCTTGCCAAGACCTACCTTGATCTTCACCACCGCTGCCATACATTCAGTACGTAGTAGAGGTAGGAGGAGGCATGCCGTGCTCTACGATGCATCGCGCACCCTCTCGCGATCATTGCCCTGCTCGACATCCGACTGCGAATAGACAGGATATCTACGCTATTGTAAGGGATGGGAGGGAGGGGTAGGACGTCGGATATGACGCGAGCGCACCTAGCCTGTCCCTTCCCACTCCCTGCACCCTCCTCGCCCGGGGGCGCGAAAGTAATTGCGCCGCGCGGCTTTCCCGAGGTATGGGTCACGGGCATTTCGCCCGTAGACTCGTGGACGCTTGAACGTCCAGCAAGGGACTATCGGCCGCGATACGCCTAGCCCTTGTGGACACGCACCTCAAAATTAGGTGCGTGCCGGGGATGCGACTTAAACAGGACGAGGAGGAGGATGAGGAAGAGGAGGAGGATGAGCAGAGGGAGGAGGAGCCGAGGAGGAGGACGAGGAGGACGAGGCTGCGCGAGCGGCTCCTCTTGCCATCCCTCAGCCGCCTTCTGGCGGCGTTCCGCCCTCATGTGTTTTCGCCCCCTGGTGGGCCTTCCGTCAGGCAGAGCCTTTCCTGGATTGTTTAGCTCGAAGTAGATCAAAGTTGCCCAGCCCCGAAGGAGCGTGAGAACGGACTTGAGGCGCGATTGGGGTCGCAGTAGTAGAAGGAGGAGGGGGAGGAGGAGGAGGAGGAGAAGCGGAGGAGGATGAGGAGGAAGAGGAGGAGGAGGATAATGTAGAGGAAGGGGAAGAGGAGGAGGAGGAGGTCGAGGAGGAGGAGAAGGAGGAGAGGAGGAGGTAGAGGAGGAGGAGGAGTAGGAGGAGGGCGATGATGATGATGATGATGATGATGATGATGATGATGATGATGATGATGATGATGATGATGATGATGATGATGAGGAGGAGGAGGAGGAGGAGGAGGAGGAGGAGGAGGACCAGTGTGAACCCAAGAGTCATCAACGATGTTGGAGTAAACCCTCCCTCCAAGCTCCCTCTTTCATAGGCCTCTACAACGGTTCATTTCCATTGATTGAAATGCTTCGTTGGAAGACACCCGTTTGAAGACCCTGAAGCATACCAAAATCTTGTTCTCGGGATTCCAACGCCACGGATCAACCTGATTGTTGCGTCCTGACGATCCTGAATCCTGCCAGAACGCCATTCCTAGGACTTCAACACTGAGAACCAACGTAACTGTCGCACCGGCATGCTCCTGAATCCTTCCAAGACGCCGTTTCTGGTACGTTGATGATCGATATCCGTGAAGTTCTTGCAAGGTTTTAAACGAATGTGCGCCGCTCTAAGGCGAGAACCACATGTTGGAAAATAATCGCCCTCAATCATCGAAGCTCTTGCACATGTTTAGAACGATTGTGCGCCGCGCTACGGCGAGAGCCACATTTTGAAAACGACCCGCCCTCAATCCGTGAAGCTCTTGCAAATGTTTGAAACGAATGTGCGCCGCGCTAAGGTGAGAACAACATTTGAAAGCCACCCGCCCTCAATCCGTTAAGCTCCTGCAAATGTTTGAAACGAATGTGCGCCGCGCTAAGGTGAAAGCCACATTTTGAAAACGACCCGCCCTCAATCCGTTAAGCTCCTGCAAATGTTTGAAACGAATGTGCGCCGCGCTAAAGTGAGAGTCACATTTTGAAAACGACCCGCCCTCAATCTGTTAAGTTCTTGCAAATGTTTGAAACGAATGTGCGCCGCGCTAAAGCGAGAGCCACATTTTGAAAACGACCCGCCCTCCATCTGCGAAGCTGTCGCCAATTTTTCAGCGTCAGAGCCATAACTGGTGAGGACGTCTCAGGCGCAACGCCCGGCCCGCCCTAAAAATTGGCCTCGGGGTGCGACAGGGAGAGGTCATCTATAAGGAGAACGAATGGAGCAGGTAGAGGAGGTGGACGAGGAGGAGTAGGAGGAGGAGGAGGAGGCCCTCTTCTCCCCATCCCTCCTCCCGCCCCTCCTCCTGAGCTTCAGAGGTCCTCCCAGCGCCCGCCACTCTGTTTGCCTAAGAGAGACAGTGCAAAACCCTGCCCCTGAGGCGAGAGCTTCTACCTCTCCACGTGCCTCGACGCATCGGGCGCGGGGTACATGCTGGAGTTCCCCCCCCGCGGCCTCGGCCAGCCCCGCAGCCGGCGCCCGCGGCGAGCTCCCAGGGCGTCGTTATTTGAAGGGCAACGATAGAGGGGGAGGCTGGCACAGGGGGGGAACATCGACCTGGCATCGGCGATGTATCGCCGATAGATCGGCGATAGGCCCCCGATCGTGAATCTGCACTTCCCTGGGCAGGTTGGGACTATCGGGCCCCTATCGGCTTTGGATGGAGGATTTGGGGTCGATGCATCCTTCCCTGAGCCTATTCCCCTGTACCGTTGCCACTGACGATCTGTGGTGACCCTGGATCTCGAGGAGGGCGGACTTTAGAAGCGTTTGCCAGGATGTTGGACTGTGTGTTCTCCGCGGGCGGCTCGTGTGCACCGTCACGCGCTGGCGTCCTCCGAGGTGTCGTCGATCCTCGACCCAGTGATAATGCTGTGCCATGCCTCAGAGCAGCAAGCTATCTTTGCACCGTGCCGCGTTGGAGCGGTGCCTGAAGGGAGTCCCAAGATGGTACGTCGCATTGGCGCAATTCTCGTAATTTTATCGAGCGAATGAAACCAACATTACGTGTGCGCTTGCGTAAATCGATGTGTGTGCGCGTGTCTGTCAGTCTGTCTGTCTGCGTGTGCGTGCGTTTATGTGTATGTGTGTGTGTGCAGGACTGGTCCACGCGTGGCCCCATTCACCGCGACGGCACGTGGCCTGCCACTCGACGCACGGCGCGGCGCCTCTTGATCGTGCACGGGTTGCGGCAGTCGAGGATGCTCGCGTTGCGGTCGCGTTTCTCCCCCGTGTCCCGCCTCCACATTGTCCATTGTTTCTACCCTGCCGCAGTGCTACACGACATGTCAGTTGCGCCGCGTGGCCGCCCATCCTCCCCCCATCCCTGCAGGACGAGGGCCTCATCGACGACAGGCGCAGTGGCGAAGAGCACACGTGGGACCTGACGGAGCTCCCGCAGTTTCTTCCCCCCCGCCCGAGCTGAGGCTCGTCATAAAGTCAAACTCATTTGGAAGCTGTTGCGTCTCGCCACATTGGCATTTAGTTTTGATACCGTTTGCCCCCATGGTGAAGGTGCATTGATTTCCGCAAGTCGCGTTGCGTTGAGGATTATTGCATGACCCTTCCCCTGATCATATCCGCCTTTCACGGCACCGCTTGGCCGCTACACGTTGGGACCGAATCAGGTTTCCGTTGCGCCATATTTGGGCCTCTCGGGGCCTCGACACCACATTCGGACCATGCTTGTAGAACATCGAGTGTGATCGATCGAGTGAGATCGAAAGTGGGGACGATAATGACAGGACATTGCAGCGCAGCATCGTCATCGCCACGCCCATCACATTTGTCAGAAGGTGATTAATTTCCACCCACCCCTGAACCTCCTCACCCGAAGGGTAGGTGTTCATGGTATACCTTTGGAGTGTGTTTTGAAGCTTGTCCTCCGAAGCGTCTTGGAGCCTCCTCATCCTTTGGGGGCCTTCGGGGAGCTCACTTGTCGCTACGGCTGGACGCTGCCGGGAAGACGGGTCCGTCTGGATGTTGGCCAGAAGGGTTTTGGGGCCGATTCAGAGCAAATGGTTGAGGGGCAAAGGCGGAGCAGGAAAAGGACGAGGCAGGGGAGAGGGGCAGGAGGCAAGACGAAGGAGGTGACAGGTTGACGGGGAGGAAGGATGCCAGAAGAGGAGGACTGGAACAAGATGGAGGAATACGCGTAGAGTTTTCAGTGCCCTCCCTACCTCGTCCTCCTCCCTCTCCCATAATCCCCCTTTCCACTTCACCCTTGCTCCTAATGTGTTCATCCGCCCATTCTATTTTCTCATCCTCTTCCTGCTCTTCGTCCCTCCCCATTTGTTTCACGCCCCTCCTCTCCCCCCTTCTCTCCCTTCTTCACCCCCTTCTCGTTTTCCTCATCTTCTCCCCATACCTCCTTGCCCCTTGTGAAGTACTCAATAGGAATACTACTCTCATCTCTCTCCCGACTACGTCCCGAAAGTATCCCGCCCACTCCGTGTAAAATGTTTTGTTTGCATGTTGGTTTTCATATTGTCTCCATCGGAGTATGCTCGGAGCACCAACATGGTGTTCCCGCTGCAGCGTGCGCCTCATTTTAGGATCCGCGCTTTGCTCTGGTCTTTTAGAATGGCGTTCTCGCCCCAGCGCGGGCCACTTGTCTAGATCCGAGTCCTTTCCAAACGTGGTCTCCCTGCTCCTTTTCTTTCCTCCGCCTTCCCAGGGTCCGTCTGCTCCTCCCGCTTCTCATCCTTCTGCGCTTGCTGCTGCTGTTCCTCCTCGTCTTCCTCTTCTTCCTCTTGCTCATCCTGCCAGCTCATCTGCCACCTCCTCCAATGGGGGGAGGGGAGAGAGTGGATGGGAAGGGACGGGTATGAGAGGTAGGCGTCCGTCAGACTTGGCGCCAGCGCGCCTATCATGCCTCTTCCTCTCTCCCTTATCCGCCGCACTGCGAAGGACACCTCCGCATGCAGCGGGGAGGGCGTGATCGCTTACCGCCCCTTTCAGCAGGCAAGCCGGCCGGCCGACCTTGGCACCAGCACGACCCTTTATGATCATCATTGCGACCAGCGTCATACAATACCCATCGGTGGCTGAAATTTCTGGATTCCCAGATCCTAGTATACTTCAGGTGCCTTCCTACTTCCGAGTAATTTCCCCTCCTTCATTTTTAGGGAACGGGCGGAAACCCAATCTACTTCCACAGCCGTCCTACTTCATGTTGCTGCCCACTTCTTCCGACCGGTGGGTATGTGCGCGTCTTCTTCAGTCCGTTCTCACATCACATGGAGTGTTCAGCCTGTGATGAAGGTTCTACTTGCATCCCTGCTGCCTTTGCGGCGCATCCCCAGCCTCACATCCCAGGGTTGTTCGCCCGATGCCGCTGGAATCGTTTCCGCGTGGACGCCCACCCCTATCGTGCACACTCAGTGTGTACGGCATGTGTGCACATAGATGTACATATACAACAGATGTATGTATGTGTTGTGATCTCTGGACTTCTGGCGTATTGAAGATGGCCCCAGTAGAACTCTGACTAAGAGTCTGGCTTGTTCTGTGGACCACGCCGTCGGAGCACACGACGTGAAGACAGGCAGCTTTGATCACGGCGGTGAAATTTTCTGGGCCGGTTTGGCCGGCCGTTCTGGGTCGGTCTGTTTTGGAGGAGGCCCAGCTTGTTGGGTTGGTTGCGCTGCCTGGACTGGCCAGGCCAGATGGGCTGGCTGGGCGGTCTGGCAGCAGCACCGGCTACGTGAGGAGCACTGGTGGCTTGCCCTTCCCCGGCCCGCTAGAATCACGAGGTCTGGTTATATTTCAGGGCCCAAGCTGGGCCTGGATAAGGCCCAGTAGAATCATGAGGTCTGGGCATACTTCGGGGTCCAAGCTGGGCCTGAACGGCCGCTCGTCGTGTGTGCAGTTGCTGGCTTCCAATCCCTCCGCCCCTGGGCCTCTCGTGCTGTCGAGCAGGGCTTCGTCTCTGCGCCGCCTCGCGGAGCTGCACTCGGACTGTCGCCCGTTCGCAGCGCACGCGCATGCTGCACTCGAGTCAAGCCGTTGTGGATACAGTCAACCCGCATAGTAAGGATGAGCAATTTTCCAAGGAGTACCCTTGCATCCTTGCCTCTTCGGTCATCTCCAGTCCGTCCTCTATCACTTTCCATGGACAGCCCCGCTCGAAGAGCCTCGGCATGGGCGTCCAAGGCCCTTGCATCCTTACCGCCCATCCTCAGTACAAGGGTTGACTGTAGTCCATCGCTGCACCTCGCAGGTACGGCACGGTCCCCTGAGAGGAACATGCACGCCACGGCGATGCTTCTTTCATACGACGTGTTCCAGGAAACGCCTCTACCATGGGAAATCTAGCGGGTGTTGCTAATCTGTTTTTTTCAATCGAGGCGTTTTTCCATCCTTCTGCTCTTGGCGGCAATTTCTACACACGGGGACCACAACAAATGAAACCCGGGCGCGGAATTGCCTTCGAGAAAGGAAGGGGTCGGGAGTTCTTGGGACGCGGATTGAAAACATCATCTGGGATTGTCCTGGGTTGTCAAGGCGTGTCTTTGACTGGCAGCTGCTTCATCGGAGGTCACCCCGCGTGTGAATAGGCCGCTGGCCCGTGCGCGGGAGGAAAAGGAGGGGGCGTTATGTGCACATTTCCTTCTAATCTTCAGAAGCTCCCTCAACCCCCAATGCTCACCCATGATCTGCAAAAATCCCCCGAAGCTGCCAGGGTCCCCCCTCCACCTCCCTCTCCTCCTCTCCTCAACCCCCCAAACTCGGCGGCGCGCCCGCGGGGGAAGTGAGAGGGGGCGGGCCTTCTCAAAAGCCTCGGAAGTCCTCCGGCCTTTGAGAAGGTTTCCAAGCCTTCCCCGCCGCCTTCCGAGAAGGCCTCCTCCGTCTCCCTCCCCCCCCTCGCTCGCCGCTGACAACCCCCCCCCTCCTCGTCCCTAGCCTCCCGTGGAGCGCGTCCTGTACGGGATGTCGAAGCGAATCCAGCCGTGCAGCGAGAGCCTACGCTGGGGTTACCGCCTTCTCCTGCGGTCTCCATTGTGCACTCGTTGCGGGGAGTAAGCCATGACATGCACATAACAACTCTGAGGTCCGCGCGGGTTTCTCCGATCCGTGCTGGGCCCCCTCTGGCGGCGCTTCCGGCGCCGCCCCAGGCGCGCTCCGGGGGGTCCAGCGCCTGTCCGAGAAATCCGCGTGGACCTCCGCGTTGTTACGTTTATGCCGTTGCTCGTTCCCTTGTATTTACCCTGAGATGGTCACTCTTCTCCGCAAAACCATGTTGGCAAGCGTAGAGCTCACCGGAGAAGTATACAACCTCTCGGGACTCCCCCGATGCCCCCTCCCTCACATGCCCCCTCCCTCCCACCTTCCTTAATTCCTTCCCTCCTCCGCCTCCTCGTCCCTCCTCCTTCCTCCCAGCCCCTCCTCCCTCCTCCCCTTGCCTCCTCCCTCCTCGTGTGCCCCCCCTCTCCTGCCCCGTCCTGCGCCCTTACCTCCTCCCTCCTCCCTCCCTGCCCTCCCCTGGTTTCGGAGGCGACGATGGGGGCGAATAGCCTTGAGTCGGGCCTGTCCCTCTACAGGAGAAAGATTTTAGAATAGGCCAAAAATAGTGTGTGGACGATTTTTCTATTATTTTGCTACTGTTTCTGAGCATTGTTATGCTATTTTCTAAATTTCGCCCAAAACCCGCCTGTAGGGGGACATGCCCGACCTAGTAATAGCCCAGGGGCGGGCATTATACGCATTCGCTGGGGAGTCTCGCCGAAGACGTGGATTGTCGGTGCCACTGGATACGCGTATTGCCCCCCTTGGGCTATTCGCCCCTATCGTCGCCTCCTCCTTTCGTCCTGCCTGTTTCCCTCCATCCCTGCCTTCCCTCAGCCACGCGCCGAGGGGGGCAGGGGGAGGGGGCAAGGCTTCTTGGAAGCACCACCCCTGCCCCTTGGAAGGCGCGGGCCTCATCTGTAGATGTAGGGCCCGCGCCTTCTACGAAGCAGCCCCCTTCTAAGAAGCCTTCCCTTACCCCCTCACCCTACCCTCTTGTGCGCGCCGCGATTCGATTCGATTCCGATTCTTGGGCGATCCGATGAGGCCCGGTGCTCGCATGGCGCTGTTCTGCATCCTGGCGCCGCCGACTCCGATTCCGAGCCGATGCGGTCCGATTCGATTCGCGTTCCGATCCGACCCGCTTTCCCGATTCGATGCTGGCTGTTCCTGCCTCCTCCCTGCCTCCCCCCCCCCGCCCTGGCCCGCCTGCCTCGCCCTCCCGCCTGCCGAGGGCCCAGGGCCGAGCGGAGGCCCCCACCCACCCCCCCTGGAGGGGCGGAGCGCCGCAGGCGGCCCCGTGGCTGGAGTGCTCCCAGAAGGCGGGGCGCCTCCCTCTCGCGGTCTTCGTCGGTCGTTCTCCCTCCCCCCCCTTCCTTCCCTTCCTTCCTTTCCTTCCTTCCTTCCTCCTTCCTTCCTTCCTTCCTTCCTTCCTCCTCCTTCCTTCCTTCCTTCCCTTCCTCCTCCTCCTCCTCCTCCTCCTCCTCCTCCTCCTCCTCCTCCTCCTCCTCCTCCTCCTCCTCCTCCTCCTCCTCCTCCTCCTCCTCCTCCTCCTCCTCCCCCCCCCCCCCCTTTCCTCCCCCCTACGTCCTCCCCCTCTTTCTCCCCCCCTCCTCCCCCCCTCCTCCTTTCGTCCTCCCCCTCCTTCTCCCCCCCCCTCCTCCCCCCCTCCTCCATTCGTCCTCCCCCTCCTTTTCCCCCCTCCTCCTCCCTCCGCCTCCCTCTTCCCTCCTCCATCTCCCTTCCTCCTCCCCCCCCCGCCGGCCGCCTACCTCCTCCTCCTCCTCCTCCTTCTCCTCCTCCTCCTCCTCCTCCTCCTCCTCCTCCTCCTCCTTCTCCTTCCTCCTCCTCCTCCTCGGCCCAAGCTCGTAGCATTGACCTTGGTGCTACAAGTTTGGTTGCAGCCGAGCGGTTGGTCCAAGCATCTTCGGCCGACTTGAAGCCCGCACCGCTCGTTTTTTCTGGGCATCCTGTCAGTTTCACATTCACATGTTGGGCACCGCGACCATGTCCGAAACGCAGGCGATCATGAAGCAAGTTTAGGCTGCCATCAGCGAGACGACGAAAGCGCAGATCTCGCATATGAACACCACCATCCAGGCCTCCTTCACGGGACAATTCGGTGTATTCTCTGGTGTGTTCAACGGCAATATCAAGGACCAGAACAACGCTATTGGCGTTCAGGCTGAACGCCAGGACCAGCTTAAGACACACAGTCAGGCCATCGCAATCTTGCAGACACGAGGCAGACCAGACGGTTCCACAACGGGAAGTGCCAGCTCATTGGGCGACCGCTACTCGGAGCCAGCGTCCAAGAGACTCGTCGTATAGCAGATGCGGATGATGGTCCGCCTGTTCCCACGAGGGCACCCGGTGCCAAGTCCTACTCCTACGACAAGTGCCGGGGGTGGATGATTGGATCATTTCCGAGGCCGCTGCTGGCAAGCAAAAGACAGGCACACATCGAGTCCACCGAGGAGAGGCTCAAGACGCCCCTCTTGACGCTCCAGCCGCAAGTCCATCGCACCGGCGAGTCTTACGGCTTGAATTTCACCAGTGAAGCGTTGGCCAAAGAGTCTCGGATGTTTTCAAATCTGCTCAGGTGTACTGGGCCGACCCGAAGGACGGTGGCATTCATGTCTTCGAGGCCCGCACGGACCTCCCCAAGGACGGAAGTGATGTATGGCCGCTGTAGAGCGCCACGCGCGTGAGTGCCTCGGCGTCGACACCGGCCGCTCGAACCAGATCATGGCCGACATCAACCGCGCCGCCTACAGCTAGGAAGCGCAATCGTCCCGCTCATCGGCAGAATATTCTGTGGCCTTCGAGTGTAGCAGGCGCCGGGTGCTACATACTCGAGGTTGACAACGAGTTTAAAGTACTCGATGGGAAGCAAGGGCTGGCACCAGGGTCGAGCCAGGCATTGCATTTTACGGGTTCTACAACACCTCTCGCCTCCGTCTCCCTACCGCCCCTTTTCATCTTCGTCGACCTATTTTTCAGCTCCTGCAACGGCGCCATCCAGAAACTCACAGCTCCTTCGAGACCATGGATTACATTTGCGGCTATTGAGTACGCTCGAAGAAATATCGCATCGTCGTATCGTAGGCGGCATGAAATCTGTCCTCGAATAATCACAGCACAAGGTAACCCAATTGCTCCTGCTGTGCTGTGATAAATTGATAGCCGTGGCCGGGAAAAGTAGGTAGTTGCACCAGTAGACACATTGGGCGGCAGCATCTGAAGCTGCTGAATGCGGTGGGACTAAGGGTCGCCACGAGGCCCGGCGCCCACTCTCTGACCAGGCGCTCAAGACGCGGAGGACAGAGGAGGGCCTCGAGGGCACCCAGGAAGAGGAGAGGAGGAGGCGGAGGAGGAGGAGGAGGAGTTCAAATCAACGTATGCCATCACCTGAAAAGGTGGCCTTTAGGGGCGGCCCCTGAGACAGACTCGGCGCCTACAGCCGCGAGGGCAAACTCGATCAGAGGCCCGACCCGGTTCAGAACACTATGAACAATACGTGCTTGTTGGGGTCCTTTTTACGTGGGAAAGAAAGCGCAACTCTGGATCTCGCTCTCCGAACTCAGCGGCGCGGTAAACTTCGATACCATGGCAGATAGAGCCGCGAGCTGCTCCTTCAGACCCATCATGCCGGCAAGCTTGAGCAGCTCGTCGCGGCATGCCGCCCCGGCCGTCTGGTGCCCCTGGAGCTGCGAGAAATCCTGCGCAGAGACCCAATTAAGCAAAGCTGCCGCGATCGTCGTCTTCTGATGGTGATCTGGGCGTGGCTGACCTTTCCCAGGACTCCGAGATATGCAATGATCAGCTGCTTGCTGCAATGAGGCCTTCGATCCGGCTGTGGTTGCAGCGAGTAGGAACCAACAGAGCTCGTGGCCCTCGAGCTGGCGCAACCGGAAGTCAAGATTCACGATCTGGCGGTCGACGCCCAGGCTCTTGGATTTCTTGGCCGGCGGCTGCCCGGCGACGAGGCCCGAAGAGCCGCTCGCGAGCGAGGTGGAGAGGAAGCTCATAATCTACCGGGACTATGGGGAATGGTTCAACGTTGTGCCGACGAGCTGTCTCGACCCTAAATGGCCCTGCAACGATGGGGGCGCACAATGCTGCCCCCCCTGCCGGGCCCGAGGCAAATGGCAGATATCCTTCTTCCAATGCGCGGCAGCGGTGACGACAGTAGCAAACGGAAGAGTACAACGGGCGCACTGGTTCGCAACGATGCGGAGACAATTATAACCTGCATCATGTTTGGAACGTCTGTGAAGCTCCATCTGCCTTTTGGTCAAGAATCGTTCGGCGCACTCTGGGCAGACAAAGACTCTTGCACCCTGCGCGTCCTCGAAGAAAGGGGGGGCCTCGAGATCGATCGCATCATTGCTCGGAGATGGCGGAATGGGGGGGGAAGGAGGAGAGGCGGAGGGCGGAAGAGGGAGCTTGGGAACTGGTGTAGTCGCTGCCTGGGGATCCCGTCTTTCCAGAACGCGGTCGATGTCACCCGCGTCTGTCAAGGCGAACTCAATCGCCCAGTCAGGGCGAAAACCGCGGACCCCAGGCCAGCCTTTGTTCAGGTCGTCGCACAATTGCCGGACGTAGGGCAACGCGTCTGGAGGTAGGATACCACCACGCATCGAGGTCATTGTGTAGTTCCCAATCGAATCGCCCAAATACGGCAGCAATCAAAAGTCTATGCTGCGAAGGCTTCTGACATATCGAATGCCGCCATCGAAGTCGCCGTCGTCGCAACGTGCTCGCAAAACTCCAAAGTCCCAAACGTCTCAGAATATCGTTGTTGCTAACGCTAGCGTGTTCAGCACCGACATTTTTGACCTCCCCCCGCACTTGCCGCCCAAGCGTATGCCGAGCGAGACGATGGTATACCCGATCGAGTTTAGCTCGTTCGCCACGGTTAAGAACGGCAGCGTCGAATCCTGACAGGCCTGCATTAAGGGCCATCGCCTTGAAAATGATGGTTTTGACGTTCTGCGATAACTGCCTACACGTCCAAAGCTTCTTGCATGCAAAAAATCCTGCTCTCATAGCCGCGCATCGTTTCTGAACCAGCGTACAATTAAAACCATTGCTGCTAATCCAATCGCCGAGGATGCGAGCGGCATGCGCTGTTCTTCCATTGGTCAATGTTTGATTTCGTTGCACGCGCCCTTGATCTAACCTCGCCCCCCCGTCCCAGAAATACCGGTACAACCTCCTCTTTGCTTAGCTCAAGTTCGCGCCCGATGCGATTCAGCGCAGGAACAAGCGCTGCAGCATTCTCGAGGATCTGATTTTGAAGGCTGTCGTAGGCAGGGGCGCGGGACACGGACACGACAAACTCCTGGGCGTCATCAACGAAAGTCATGAGCGTAGGATCGTACGTTTGTCCTTCATAATGAAGAATCGCCGTTGACGGCTGTCTGGGCGGCGTCGCCGTGCGTTTCCATGAAGCAATCGGAGCCAGTACTGTCGCCCTGCCGAGCCCCCCAGCGCGCCGGCCAGCGAAGCTGTCGCCCCCCCTGCAACGTGAGATCGAGATAAGGATGGCCATGAATATGTTGAAAAACACGTGCTACGTCAGGCGCGCGGGGCATGTGCGTGGAATGGATTGCGCGTGCAGCAATGCTTGGAAATACTGATTTGGCATCCCTGAAATTGCAGGCGCGGGTGCGCCGGGCTCGCCCGCATCGAGCACCGCGCAACCGAGCTATCAGGCGCGTTTCCTCTCGCCGTCGCCCTCGAATGGCACCGAAACTCCATGGGGGCATCTTCTCTTGAGCGCGATCGCGATATATTGTCTTATGGTAGATCTTCCACAAAGAGTAACATCATGAAATAGGACGCTTTCCATCAAACTTAGGTTTCCCATTGTTCTGATCAGTTGGGGCAATGGGCGATGCAAGCAAATCTTGCGGATTTCACCCATGCCGGGTGACGTTGCCAAGTGCTGCATATATCGTGTTCGCAAGCGTCGGGACATACTGAAAGATGAATTTCCAGATCTCGTTGGGCACGTCTCGCGGCGTGACTGCCTTGTCTTTCTTTGTGGCCCTAACGGCTTTGACGAACTGCTCCATGGGCGGATGATCGGGCGCGTCTGGCCCCGGATTCACGTCCGCAGAACACTCCGCCGGAGTGAGAGGGTGGAAATTGGCGGGCCCCCCCGGAAACCTTTCAGCATGAAATGTTCGGTGCGTGCATGAATCCGTCAATAGGGCGGCGTCGGGGGGCAGAAAGACGCGCCGCTTCAAACCAAGAGAGGTCTGCGACAATGCGCGCGCACAACGCCATGCCTCGCGGCCATCGTCCTGGCCCA